ATGTGTATTTTTAAGTTGTATACATGTATTGCTGAAAAGTGGTATATAATCTAATGAGTCAGACATCCTGGCTTTGAATCCGGCTCTACTACTTCCTATGTGACCTTAACCTGTCTCATTTTTCTCTTCTGTAAAATGAGGATAATAATAGTACCAACCTCACAGAGTTATGAAGAGTAAATGAGTTAACTATGTAAACTGCTTAGTAGAGTGTTCAGATAGGTAGTATGTATTCAGTAAACACTAGCCCTTATTAATACATCTGAGCTAATACATGATGACTATTATAACACATATTTTAAAGACATTTTTTAAAGGATGAGAAAAAGTTAAAATCTAGTATCTTCTCCCATTTAAGTTTTGCCTACTTTGAGAACACCCCTCTACACTATAGCTACTATAATCTTGAAAAACAAGTTTGATGATGGCACTATGCTACCTAAACCCCTTCAGTGGCTTACTGTTATCCTGAAGAAAGCCCTTTTAAACTGCCTCTACTGCTTCCCCAGGTTCATTTCCAAACATTTTCTGCCCTCTGGCCTCACTGACCTGTTAATCCTAGGGCTTTGCATGCTGTTGCCTCTGGAATTCTGAAACAAACCTTTCCCCACCCTATGCCTAGTGATTACTAATCCTTTTATCTTGTTTTAATAGTCTCTTCTATTAGATACTCTTTGAGCACTATGTACCTTCCCATCTTACATTTATTATACTTTAAATTATTTAATCCTTTTTAATGTTACTGATTTTTAGAGTGAGAGGAAGAGAGATGGACAGAGAGGAACATTGATGAGAGAGAAAAATCATCCATAGGCTGCCTCTTTCACTCCCCCTACTGAGGATCAAGCCTGCAACCAGGGCATGTGCCATGATCTGGAATTGAACCGGTGACCTTTTGGTTCATGGGTCAATGCTCAACCACTGAGCGACACTTGCCCAGGTAGACTGTAAATTTCTTGAGATCAAAACCTTTTTATTTTTGTTAATCCTCACCTGAGGATATTTTCTCCATTGATTTTCAGAGAGAGTGGAAGGACGAGGGAGGGATAGAGAAACATCGGTGTGAGAGAGATACATCAATTGGTTGCCTGCCACCACCCAGCCTGGGGATTGAGCCTGCAGCTGAGCTACATGCCTTTGAACAGAATCAAACCTGAACCCCAAGCAAGTTCCTTCCTTCCTTCCTTCCTTCCTTCCTTCCTTCCTTCCTTCTTTCCTTCCCCCCTTTCTTTTCCTTTCTTTCTTTCTTTCTTTCTTTCTTTCTTTCTTTCTTTCTTTCTTTCTTTCTTTCTTTCTTTCTTTCTTTCTTTTCTTTCTTTCTTTCTTTCTTTCTTGATTAGAACAGTGCTTCCCATCCTTTTCAGTACTTAGAACATGAATACTTGTATTATATTGTGATAATATAATATAAGGCTGGTTCCATTCGGGGCAACAGAAGTTGGGATTCCAGCCATCCTAGGTCCAATGCTGCCATCTTGAGGGCTGGGATTTTACTGTCCCAGCATACTTAAAACCCATTGGAGGCTTAGGATGCTTGTTTAAAAATTGCCTGGTGAAATGTATTTTAATAAACACTGTATTTATAATTATTCAAAGTGTGCACATACATTTTGGGGGGCACCCTATATAGTAGCCACATTTGAAAAAGCAAAAAGAGCCCAACTGGCCTGGCTTAGTGGTTGAGCATTGACCTATGAAACCATGAGGTCTCGGTTCTAGTCCCAGTCAGGGCACATGCCCAAGTTGCGGGGTCAATCCCCAGTCGGGGGCGTGCAGGAGGCAGCTGATCAATGATTCTCTCTCATCACTGATGTTTCTATCTCTCCCTCCCTCTCTGAAATGAAAATATATATACATAAGAATAAAATAAAGAAGTAAAAAGAAGTAGATGAAATTATATTTTTTATGTAATTAAGTTTATCTAAAATAGCCCTGGCTAGGTAACTCAGTTAATTAGAGAATTGTTCCCATACACCATGGTTGCCAGTTTGATCCTTGGTCAGGGCACATACAAGAATCAACTAATGAATGCATAAGTAAGTGGAATAACAAATAGATGTTTCTCAAATCAATAAATTTGAAAAATCAAATATTTTTTCAACATGTAACCAATACAAAAATTTATTGAGACTTTCTACATTCTTATACTGATTCTTAAAAATCGAATGTGTATATAATTTGTACAGCACATCACAATTTGATTGGCTGCATTTCAAATGCTCAAAGCCACGTGTAGCTAGTGGCTACTGTATTGGACCATACAAACCTAGTATATACAGTATAATGAACAAATGAGGTTATGTGATTTATTTGAACAACCAGAATAGAGTTGGTTATTTGTGCTGGGCATTTCTCATCTCTCTCCCACTCCTACATCATCCCATTCCCCTCCTCTCCCAGCACTGAGGGCCTGTATCTTCAGGCAAAAATTTTAAAGTAAGTGACTAAACCCATTATGAATATTTACATAAAAGTGTTCAGCACCTTTAAAATGAATCGCAGATGAATTGTTTTAAGAATAAGGCAAAAGAACTATTTTAAGAATAAGATAAAAGGCTGTTTGAGAAATAAGACTTTAAGATAAAAGAAAATTATGTTAACTGTCAACATTTTGTCAATTGGAACACTTGGTTTAATTTTTTAAAGTTGTTTACAGTAATTTCTAAGTGTTGTTTGGGGGTAGGCATATACACCAATTAGTGATCTTGCCCCAAGTGCCAAAATGCTTTGTCTGTGATTTGAGTTGACGTGCCAAGATCCAGTTAGGTTTAGAAGTTTTTTAATTGTTTTAAAAGATGTATTTAACATTCATGAAGGGTGTCAGTATCACACTTTTTATTTTGACAGTCTTAGGCAGTCATTAAAGTGCCAGAGTACACATTAAAGATTATACATGGCTTTTCAATCAGAAAAATTAGCCTCATGGAGTCTGGCCAACTTCCAACTTAGATAAAGAACCTTTATTTATTTTGATTTTCACTACATAGTCATACCTTCTTCATTTCCTTTTTATAAACTATTAAAGTAGTTTTTGTTTGTGTTTCTAAATATAATTCAATTAGCTACTTCATTTCACATCAACAATGGGCAAAATTTTACTAGATATATACTTTGCCCATTTAGGAAAGCCGAATGATCTTTGGATGTCCTTCCGGACATCCTTCTGGACAAAGCTGGGGCTGCGCCAGGGCCAAAGCAAGCCACCACGCCACAGCTGTGAGAGCCGAGCCCCTTGCATGAATTTCGTGCATCAGGCCTCTAGTCTTTTTATATTTGAAGATAGTATAGTATACTATAAAATTGCGTACTTGCTTAGCTCTAAATGATGGTGAGCTGACCAAAAATGTTAATGATGTCATTGCAAAGTAATTCATTATGTATGGAAAGGGACATCTTTTGTAATACAGTGGCTGCCTGGGCAATATTTCATACCTATGCATATAGGTTTATGAAGCCCAGGGCTTTTGTTAGTTAGCCCTGGCATTTATGGGATTGGCATTAATACTTAACACTGCTGTTAGACACCAGAATTTATAAGAACTTCAGAGCTTAACTGCTATAGAGATGATAAAAGAATTTAAGAGTTATCCCAACTCTAGAGTAAATGGATTATATTTTGGGAATCTTGAAAAACTAATCTTTACCTTTTATCTAGTAAGTATAGTATTATGCTGCATTTCTTATGTACATATGTATAGTGCTACCAATGTGGAAGCTGTGGGAATAGCATTTATATACAGTAATGTAAAAAATATCCTATATAATAAAAGGCTAAGGCAAATCTACTGAACGGCGGAATGATCGGTTGTGCACTGACCACCGGTGGGGGCGGGCAGATGCCCAACACAGGAGCTGCCCCCTGGTGGTCAGTGCACTTCCACAGAGGGAGTACCGCTCAGCCAGAAACTTGGCTCAAGGCTGGCGAGTGCAGGTGCGGTGGCGAGAGCCTCTCCTATCTCCATGGCAGTTGAATATCCCCCAAGGGCTCCTAGACTGCGTGAGGGAACAGGCCAGGCTGAGGGACGCCCCCCCTCAGTGCACAAATTTTGTGCACTGGGCCTCTAGTATATATATAATGAAGAGTTAACTCTAGGACCAAGTTACTTGGAGTCTATTAATTAAAGCATTCCCTGCTAGGTTCATAAGAGCAAACATGCTTAATATTCATTACATTGCCCATTTATAAGAAAATAATGATTCACATCTTAAATGGTCATTTTCCCCTCTGAATTGATAAATTTCTTCACTGCTGAAAATAGTTGTGATTTTTAGTGTATTTCATGCCTCACAAATTATATAGATGATACGTCGTCAAACAGGCTCACTACCCCTTCCTGCCCCCGCCCCCCACCCCCAGTTTTTCCCTATTCTAACTACACATGAGATAGATAGACTTTGTTTAAATATTGGTTTTGTGATTTTCTTAATCCAATATTAGTCTAAGGTTAAGGCAGCTTTGATAGTTACTTTTCCAAAAATGTTTTACGTCCAAAATTCTTAGAGGAGATCTTCGGTTTCAGCCAATACTTTTCAACTTTACTTAAGTTATAATCAGAAGTATTAGAAATATATAGTGAAATTAAATTATGCTTTAATTCACTTCACACCCTTGGTGACAATTTGTATTTGTAGATGACTTTTTAAACTATAGTTTTTACAAACCTTGTTTTTATGGATATTAAAGCAGAAATAAACAGACTTCATTTTCTCAAATCTAGCCTGCTTCTTATGTAAAGTGACCATATGCCCTGGCTTACCAGCAACTGTTCTGGTTAATATCTGTTGTTCTGGCTAATTATTAATAGGGCTCCTGTTTACTCTAAAAAATATTCTGGTTTTGGTTATAAATCATATGATCAGAAGCTTTAAGGAATTCGAAGTATAAACTAATAAAAAAAGGCCATTTTAAAATGACCTTTTGTAGTCAGGAGTATTTCCTTCTCAACTATGTACAGACCTATCTAAACTTAAAAAAAATAATATTATGGTATAGATAATATAAGCAGTAATATTTGATTTATTGATAGTACTCTGAAATTCCTGAGGTTAGAAGTAGTTTGTTTAATACTGACAGGAAATGGATGCAGGAACAATTAGCGATGGTAAGCAATAAAGTGCTTTTCCTATATATCTTCTCTTTTGAAGCTAAATATAACTGTCATAAAATTAGAGCAGGACCAGTTTTCATCTTTCTAGAGAAGTTGAGAAATTAGGTGGTTTGACTAGCATTATATGTACAAACTAATAGATAAGTTGATCCAAGACTTCAGGCCCAATCTTCTTGCTATAAATCCTATGGCTATGCTCTCTGCAGCATACCCTACTAGTTTTGAGTAGTAAATTTATTTAAAACTTATCCTGTGCTTTTAAATTTTTTAATTTAGAAAGTATTTTTGAGAAAATAACCAAATAAAGTTTCTGAATTTTGATTAAAAATTCCTATTACCTACAGGCAGTTCTGGTACATTTTTCTATTTACTTCAGAAAGCTTTACATTTTATGAGGTTACTAAAGGACTCAGGGTTGGAGTGGAGCACCTATTATATGGATTAATCTCAGTTCATTTTTTAGATTTTTTGCATTAATAATTGTATTTCATAGTAGTTATGGCACAAGTGCCTTTTTATTTGCCTTATAATAGGTGTAGATATTTGAGAGATGAATATAAATTGACTAAATAGAATTGGCAAACATGTTCATATTAGCCTTTTTCAAATCTAGAGAATCCCAAGCTGTGGATTCTTCTATAAAGTAAGTTTAAAACTAAATAGATTAAAGGACCTTGAGTTACGTTGTAATCTCAGAAGGGACCAGAGCAGGAAGTGCTCCAAAAAATTGTGACAATTGTGTGTTCTACAACCAGTGATGGCATATAGTCACATTCCCAGCATATGGTACTTGGTAAGTCCTGAGCTGGGAGATAGGACCAGGGTTTAAGCTCTGGCCGTATCTCTGATTATCTGCTTTTTTTCTAGACAAGTCTTATTTCCCCAATTGAAAAATGAGAATATTCATGGTTACAGTGTCCAAAAGAGTTGTTGTAAGACTTCATAGAAGTTTGCAGCAGCATGCCTATTGAGCAAGCAGAGTGGTGGAAGAAGAACCTTGCCTATTGGGAGCAGAAGGCATGTGCAAAGGTTCTGCTCTGGAGCATCACTGTGAATTCTGGAAACTGTAAGTATATGGTAATGTATTTGTATAGGTTGCTATTGGAAAATCAGCAGAAGCTCCACTTAATTGGTTTGATGAATTCTAATTTTGATTATAATCCTATTGAGCAAGTAATTTGACTTATCTGTGCCTCAGTTGTTTATGAATGATATGAAGAGACTAATATGTATGTTGGGTATTTCACAGGATTGTTGATAGGATTGAATGATTATATGTATGTATCCAAACAGTATAAGAAACTCTTATTAATCATAGATAGTTTTAAGAGCTACAGCCAATCATAGAGATCGCTCCAATTGCTAGTTACAAAATTATAGTTAGTGAATGTTGAATTGCTATGTAAATTGTGAGACATTTATAATTATAGAAGGGGTTAAATTACAATTTGTTAAGTGCTTTTACATATCTTTTTTGATTCACATAATTAAGTTTAAATAAATCAAGTAGTTTATTTTATTGTTATTTCCATTTTATTTTATTCCAAGGGACTTTAAAAATCATCTAGCCCAACTGCAAAATTGCATAGGGAGGAAAAACCAATTTATTTATTTCAGAAATTGGTGGTTGTAAGAAATAATTTATTTAACAGAGATTTATGATAAACTCAGCTTCAAGTCCAAGAAAGGAAGTGTTGGTATCAAGTTGATTGTCATCTGAGCTAATTTAGTAAATATCTGATTATATTTGATTCTTTCTTTTGACAATAATATCTGTTATTATTTGGCTTTGTTCAGCAGTGTGTATCCCCACTTTTTCTTATTTCTAGACTGTCTTCAGTCCAATTTCCCTATTTCATCCTTATCAATTCATTAGCTTATTTAACCATCTTCTAAGAAAGAGGGTTAGATTGTGTGGGTTGGTGGTTGAGCTTCAACCTATGAACCAGGAGGTCACGGTGCAACTGGTCGGGTCACATATGCAGGTTGTGGGCTCAATCCCCAGTGTGGGGTGTGTAGGAGGCAGCCAATCAATGATTCTCTCTTGTCATGGTGTTTCTATCTCTCTCTCCCTCTCCCTTTCTTTCTGAATTCAATAAAAATATATTATTTTTTAAAAAGGAGGGTTATTTTTAAAAACTCAAATACTAATTATTTTAACAATTCAAGTTAAATGAAGAGATAGACTTCTTTTTTATTTACACCTATTTCTTATTTAGCTAAACTAGTTTTATCATGCAAACTAATATGGTATTTATTTAATTAAAGCACGTAACTGTTTGGTTTTCTATTTTTAATCTAGTTGACTAGAGCAGCGGTTCTCAACCTGTAGGTTGCGATCCCTTTGGGGGTCAAACGGCCCTTTCACAGGGGTCGCCTAAGACCATCGGAAAACACACATATAATTACATATTGTTTTTGTGATTAATCACTATGCTTTAACTATGTTCAATTTGTAACAATGAAAATACATCCTGCATATCAGATATTTACATTACGATTCATAACAGTAGCAAAATTACAGTTATGAAGTAGCAACAAAAATAATTTTATGGTTGGGAGTCATCACAACATGAGCAACCGTATAAAGGGTCGCAGCATTAGGAAGGTTGAGAACCACTCGACTAGAGCCTTTGTCTAATGTATTCTTCAGAGCCATGCTCTAGGATCATATTATAGGTTATAATGAATTATTTTTTGTAACCAGACCCTCTTGGACACAGTCCAAGGCAAACTTGTTCTATTCAAAATTCTGTGTTTTACTATAATAGGAAGTGTTACTTGAGGGTCCAATGTAGTCAATTTATTTTTACTAAAGTTTTACCACTATAAACTTAAACAATAAATTCTTTAGATCAGTACTGGACTCAAAGTATTTTCAGAACACATACTAATTACTCATTTGCTGCTGTTTGACCCTTTTGAAATTGGCAACCAAATTCAGGAAATGAAATGTAGTTTATTAGAAAATACCTTTCTCACAGAAGATCAGGTTTCAGATCTTCTCAGGTTTTGTGGGAATGGATCAAATACACCGGACAAAAATAGGCTAAAGTTCCTCACTTCCAATTAGAAATTGCTGTACTCATTTCTCAGAAATTCCATTTTAGTTATATAGTTTATTCGAATTATATTGGTAAACTAAGGAATAAGTGTTTTGACCATATCTTTGCTGTAAAAGTGATGTACTAGCCACCTTTTGGACCTGCTCACTCCAGTCATTGCAGTTGTAAAAAGATGCAAGCACAGGAAACCTGACAGCCCCTCACCTGGACTTTCTGTTCTGGGGGCTTCTCTGAAACCTTTGGAAACAGAAGCAGAACCTGAAAGTGTGAGGAAATTAATAACTCATGAGACATCACTTAACCGATAGAAGTCAGACTGGTGGATAAATGCTCCTCTTGCATGTCTTTGCTTCATGGCTCCTAAGAAGGTACCGATTTGCCCATAGGAGGGGATGAACTCCAGAATGCACTCTTGTATTGGCCTTCCCTCCCTCCCCATTTCTTTCTCCTAATCCCCCACTTCTGTTCCCTAATTAAAGCACATAACTAACTGTTCCCTGGGATGACTTCCCAATAAAGAACTTGCACATAATCTAGAGGATTTAGGCTCTACTTTCTAGAGAGAACCTGAACTAAGAGATCATGGTTAAACATGAGATCTCCATTTTAGTATTTTTGTTAATGGAAATTTTAACTTTTTTCATTTTTTTCTTTTTTGTTAATCCTTACCCAGGGATATTTTTTCTATTGATTTCTTTCCATAGAGAGAGTGAAAGGGAAGGGGAGAGACAGGGAGAGAGAAATATTGATGTGAGAGAGACTCATCAGTTGGTTGCCTCCCGCATGTACCCTGACCTGGGCTGGGGATGGAGCTTGCAACAGAGGTGGTGGCCCTTGACAGAATTGACCCTTGACCCTTCAGTCTGTGAGCTATTCATACAGTCTACCCATCAGAGATTTTAATGTGATATGTCTAAATGGAGTTTAGAAATCTGCCTTTTTAATAGGCATCTCCCAGGTGAGTCAGATGGTCCAGAGACTACATTTTGAGAAACATTGTACACGATTGCAGTAGTAAGACTGCTGGGTGTAATCTATGACTATAAAGTATATTAAAAGTAACTGACTCCACAGAGGTTGAATTAGTACTGTTAATCATATGTTCTAATAAATCGAGCTAAAACCAATAAGAAGTCAGATTAAAAGGATAACCCAATTTTTACTTGAGTCACTGTGCTCTTCCTTTGTATACATTTTATTTGATACTAGAGACCTGGTGCATGAAATTCACGCACAGGTAGGGTCCCTAGGCCTGGCCGGCAATCGGGGCCGATCGGGGAGACCGGCAGAGCGATTGGGGGGGTCCCTACTGGCACTCGCCTTGGTTGACTTGGGGTCTGCGGGCAGGGGGGAGCTCCTGCATTGATCATCTGCCCCTGGTGGTCAGTGCACATCATCGTGACCGGTCGTTCCACCTGTCATTCTGCTGTTCAGTTGATTTGCATATTAGGCTTTTTATTATATAGGATTACTTGGTTTTAACACTATTAACATGTAGTTTGTTATGGTACCAAGGAACTGGTAAGAATTTAATTTACACTAGATCTGTTTAATATATGCTTACTCGTGGAACTAGCAAAGGTCATTTATCTCAAAGACGTAAACACATCCAAAAAATAAAACTGTGGGAAGAGACTGATGTTGTCATGCTGGATGGACTGAACAACTTTCCTTACTGAATGACCTGTAGCCAGGTTCTGGTGTAGCCAGGTTCTAGATTCAGGGTACAGGTTTCTGGCCTATGGCCAGGTTCCAGTGGTTAGCTCTGTATTATTGTTAAAAAACAGTATACTTGTTTCTGAGCAACATATATTTGTTTTAAATTTTGTTAGACAATTGTTTGGAAAGTGACTAGAGCATAATTTAACATCACTAAAATGCTATGTAGATGGTATTTATTATTCAGTTCTTATATTATTGAAATTTGATTACAATATAAATATTTTCAGAAAAGTGAATGAATAAAGTTATTGATCTTATATTTCTCAATGTTTCAAGATTCATTCAGAAATTCATTAGATTTAAAATGTTTTTGTGTTGGAAGTTTTTCTCACTCCTAATGTAAATCATTGTAGAAACTGTAGGCAAAGAACTTCCAAGGAAATAGACTTAAGATAGAACTTTGAAACTAAAAATTTGCCATGCAAGTTATAATCTCACTTTGTTAATAATAATAACTTCTAAGATAATAGTTTCATGGTTACTTTTATATATAGAAACATTTATATAGAAACATTTAAAAATTATCTTTGAGATTTGTTATTCCCTGCCCTCTTTTCAGTTGTTCATAGTAATACTCTAAATCTGTGAAAATAAATGCAGGTTAAATACTAATTTAATGAATAGTCACATAAGACTAAATTGCTTATTATATAATAAAATAGTTTTAATAAGAATGTATAATTAGTAGCATGCCTGTGCCATTCCCTTCTCCCTTGCCTTCCCCTACAGGCATGTATTTCCTAAACTCCAAGAGACCCATGAGACCTGACACCAGGGGAGCAATGGGCAGCGGAGCTGGTCTCAGGGGGCTAACCTCCTGAACCTGTTGCCAAGGCCTCCTTTTCTCTGACTTCCCTATGAGCCAAAACTGCCCAGCCTAGGCTCTCCTGTTGCTTCTTCTATGCCCTTCCTAGTTTCACTGTCCTAAGTGTGTTTTTGCTGCAGTCAATAAATTCTTGCTTGCTTTTCTTAAAAAAAAAAAAAAGAATGTATAATTAGTAGGCTTAATTGGTAAGTAGTAATTTTGTCTTTAGGTATACCACCTACATACAAGTTTTTTAATCGTAAGAGGAAAAACAATTCATTTACCATGGATATAAATTCAAATTATATTATTAGCACAAAGCTTATTTGTATAGCAATTAAACATCTTTTAGGAAATTAAAGTTGACTGCAAGATCTCAGTAAGAGCAGTTTGTGTTATAAGTAGATCTATTTGTTGGTTCTAATATCAAGTCATTTCCTGCTCTTAGGTTTTAGAAAGTTTTGTCACACTCTTCTGAACTTCTTTCTGATTAATGACATACATTTCTTAAATATCTTGCATATGAACTTTGTTCATTAACTCCATTTCTTAGTCAATTAATAAGTCGGAGGCTAATTTAATATTATTTTTAGAAAATGTTAAATCCTGTTCTGTCTTATTAGACCCAAAACATTTTGAACCCACTCTCCCTATCATTTACTATCAAGGAAATACAGTATGATTTAATACTGACCTACAATAAATTTAATTTAGAAGAGAATATTTTGGAGGAAAAAAGCATATTCTAGAGCCCTGGAGAAATAATTCAATTGATAGTAGAAAGAGCACAATTCTTAGACCAATTGAAGTCCTTGGACAACTAATTTGATGTCATATAAGATAATAGATATAAAATGCCTTTGAAAAACTCAGATACTAGGCACAAGTAAGGTGTAATTTAGTCTATCTATTTGAAAGTTCCTTTCATTGGTATAGAGATGATTGAATTTGAATTTAAAAAATTAATTAAATGTTTTTATTACCTTGATATATTGCTCTTTCTTAATATGTTTAACAATGGCTTCTTGACTCTAATTGGAATCTAATTGGATTCACTTACATGGGTTTCTAATTTTTTAATTTAATAAGGTTAAATATTTTTCAATATTAAATCTTGATGCTTCCAAGTTTGCTGATTTAATTTTTATATCTCTGATAAAAATAAAATGTATATTCTAAGTTAAGCTTTGACTTCTCTTACTCAAGCTATTTGTTGAAATTTATTGTAAAGTCTATTAATAGGGTGGAAAGGATATTGACATTTGCTGCACCTACTATGCTCTAGGAACTGTGTTGAGTGTTTTATAGAGTAAATCATGTAATTCTTCCAACAACTCTTAGAAAATGGTAGTCGTTTCCATAACTTATAGATGGAGAAAAGAGAACTCAGAGGGTTCAATAATTCCCTTGGGTAAACTAGAGTGTAGCAGAGTGAGTATTCAAACCCATTTCAGTTTGGCTCAAAAACTCATGTTTTTCCACATGCTATCCTTTCTCTACTGTAAAGTTAAGAAACAAATGGAAGGGATTATTTTCCACAGCCACTTGGACTGAACTAAGTTTACCAAATTTAGAAGCATTCCTCAGGTAGGATTTTCCCTGTGAAAAGATAAAGAAGTTAGGAGAATTAACATTTAGTTCTAGGAGTCAGAGTTGAAATTTTTGAACCTTTGGTTCTCAAGTTTTCTGTAATCCCATTTCGTTGGAATTCCTCAAGTTAAAAACATTTAAAGCATTTTTGAGCACTTGTGCACAAAGCACTGTAGTAAGAGCTTACTCCTGAAATAACATGTTCTATCATCTCTACCAGGGGCTTCGACTCCTGCAGTTCTGGTCTTCATAACCTTATTGAAGTCCTAACCAAACTTTAGATGGCATTTTTGGAAAATCCTAAACTATATCCATATAAGAGTGACTAAAACAATACAAAAATACATCTATTCCAAGAAAATAAACAGTTGAGATAGTTTAAAACAATATTAAGTCAGAAAATGACAGTAGGACCCACAAATATGAAGGAATGTGAAACATCAATTTGATATAAAATTTTACGATGGCATTAGGAGATTAGGGTTTGAAATGGCAGTCGCCTTCATTATCAATGGCAACTCCAATAAATTCAGCCATTATACCAAAAACGTTTGAGGGTAATAAGGATATAGATTAAAATAGAAAAGCAAATAATTTTTAGTTCAGCAAAGATTCAGTAATGTAACTCTATAACACATTTTAACTTTTTTACAAATTCTTTAGAAAACATAGATTAGATTTCATGTAGCATTCAGAAGAATCAATATAGAGTAGTGAAAAAATTATTAGTCTGAGCTGGTGTTGAGGAAACATGTTCTGGTTCCAGATCTACCTTTAGCTTGTTTGTAGTAATTTAGCATATTTTGAGGCTTTTCATTCAACTCAAATAATGAGGTGTTGGATTCATTAGTTATCTTTAAGAGTCCTAGCTCAAAAATGTTATGATTCTGAGTGTTTTTGATAGGAAACACATGAAGGTACTCAGGAAGCAAAGAGGTTACTATTGTTAAGAAACTTAGCATTGTTGACAAAAAGAGTCATTGTATGAAACTGTGTGGCTAGGATAAAGACAAAGGAATGCATTCCCAACTAGACTTAAAGAATGAAAAGATTTTTAAGCGAGTAGAACACTTTTTGACCTGGTCCCTGACATAATGAAGGGTTGTATAAAACACAAATACACACATGTACAAAAACACAGACTCCTAATTTGATTGGTAAGTGTATATAGCCTTAATTTTAATCAAAACATAACAGTGTATCAGTGTTTTAAAGGAATCAATTTATGGAGAATACATAAAAGTTATTTTTTCATATATTTAAAACTGAAAATCCTATTAAATGAAAACTATAGAATCCTTCTCTAAAATGTAGAGTTAGGCTTTAAATATTATCTATAGATTTGATATGAAAAGATATATCTAGTTCCTAAGTAGTTTTCCTCAAAACCATAAACATAAAACAATAATAAATAAATTGTAATCCTAAATTAAGTTTATTTTCAAACAGTAAGCCCTGTATTTAAACATTATATGGTTTAAAAAATGTACATTACTATATATAATAGATTCACTAGAAATACTAAAAGTATAGTCTATTGGTATATACCCATATCTTGCCTGAAAACTAATTGAAAAGAGAAAAATTCAACCAACTAAAATTTTTTATTCTATTCTCCCCAAATTGTCAGAATACAGTTTATGGTAAAAAGACTTTTTTTGTTTTGGTTTGCTGAATCAGCACATTCCTTTTGAAGATTCAACATTACATGGCTTTTTAGGAGTGTAACTGAATTATCTGAAGTTTTATGCAGAATTGACTTGGAAAGTAGGATTAAAAGGCATCCAAAGGATTTCCTTGCAAATGAAATCTCACCTGAATATTTATTCTCACTTAAAAAATTATTTATTAACATCCTAAAGAAACCCTAATAGCCTTTGAGTTTGAACATAAAAACAAAGTGAGGATTCTAGGGACAATGAAAAGAATACATGTCTTGTTGAGTTTAAGGAAAAGTCATATTAAGGTGGTCTACAAAAGCTCTTGACAGGAGACTATTCAGTATAAATCTGTTTAAAAAGGTATTTTAATTTCCAGATAAATTCATATGTTAACTGTTATGTTAAATTGAATGCCAGAAGATTTGTACATTGAATTTGATCTAATATTAAGGGGGTAGTTTGGTATGCAAAAATAAATCTAAAGGGGTTGGTAAACTTTATTTTAAATGAGACAAACTAAAATAAATTAATTGGATCCATGAAAGATGTAAAAGAATTATTTTAAAATATAAAGAAAAGGAAGATCCAAATTTTCTTTAACCCCAGAAATTTTTCAGATGTAATAAGGCATGACAAAAACTTGTCTTCATTCCTTTCTATTCAACTCAGTAAGTGCTTTGAGCTCCAATGGTTAATCAGTTACCAGATTCCACATCTTCATTTTTAACAATCCCCAATTCTTGTTGTGAATTGTTCCTCTTAATGTACTTACAATCACCAAGAGGACACCACCATTTTTTCCACCTTAAAAAAGCAATTATTATTTCATCCACAATTAGATTTACCACTTAAAATTGTTACTGTATAGCACCAGCCCATAAAACGTAATAGTATATTATCAAAGAAGTAGATGGCTTAAGATGAATTACTAATAGATGAAATATATTAGCAAAATTATTCAACTCAGCTTTTAAAATGGCTATAACCATATCCACCTTACAAAAAAGTATAGCAAAAGTGCATTATAATCTTTATCCAAATAAGTCAGTGAACATATATGCAAGTGCTTTAAAACCATATCTAATTTACATAAAAGGTATAATGCAGGTATTATGTTAAAAAACAGATATCTTAAACATCATTTAATTTAAGCTTCCAAAATTGCAGAGAAAATTGAGAAATATAAAAGCAATTTATTAACTTACCCTTCAGTTTATTTGGAAAACCTCTGCTCTTGGTCAAAAGCAGAAGGTGTTTCACTGCTGACTTTCCCTGAAGCTATGAACTTAAACAGTAAACCAGTGGAAACCACTTCTCTGGACTACGCTAGAGTTTGCTAGACAGTACTGCTGTGTGGAAGAAGTCTGCTGCATCTAAGCTATATACAATGTGCAATGGATAACCTAATATGTCTTTCATTTAACTGGCTGGGCAGGTTTCTACAGTCTGTGGAACATGGAATCAAACCAGAATATGTTGGCATAACAGGCCGGTCAAACCGGTTCTTCTGTAGATCCAGAACCCGTCCAACCAGTCTGCATCAAAGGCTCACCCAACAAGCTGCAGCGGCTCAGCTCTGCTAAGCCTGTACCGGGTGAGTTATCCCCACCTGCCGTCAACTTCCAACAAACTGCTCAGAATGTTGTAGCCTCCAGCAAAATAATTCAGAGTTCTAGTGGGAGGAGTAGATCTGTGTCGGGTATAGCAAGAGTCCATTGTGATAAACCTCTCATTGTAGATACTTGAGTATCTATCATCCTCAAAGGTAGGTAATCCCTTTTAAAAATGTACTTCAGGCTCTCTGCAGACTAAAGCCTCTAGAAAGAGATTATCTACAAGAATGAAGAATCCATGATGCCTGACCTTTTCTACCGGTCTACTTGGCTCTGTTCACTCTAGTTGAGCCTTGAGGGGGAGGTTGATATTCCCACAAGAGTAGTGGCCCTGAGAGGTAAAAGGAACGGTTTTTAGAGGGAGGGAAAACTAAACATTTGTCTGGGTGTGTTGTCTTCCTTGTGCTTAAACAATCCTCATACCATTTCAGTTTGAAAAATTCCTATTTCTACATACTAGGGCAACTTGGAGAGGTTTTACTTTGAATATTCAACAGTTGAACACAAAGTACTGATATCTACAAGGTGCCAGGAACTGTGTCAAGTATAGGGTTACAGTGGTGAAAAAGACTAGTTTAGTAAGAGGTGGGAGGAATGTTCAGGTGCCCAGGTAAGCATGTCTAGTAATCTTTTGGAAGGAAGAAGTGAACAACACAAGATCACATTTTGACAGAAATTGGTTTATAGTAAGGGAGATCATGTGAGATTTGTCCTTACTCTCTCATAATACTTCTTTTCTATCTAAGAACACAAATTACTGGCCTCACTTCCAGAGATTCTGACTCAGTAGGTCTGGATGTTACCCAAGCACTTACGGTGATTATGCTGCAATTGTGGCGGAGACCATAGGCCCAGACTCCATGCTCGGCTTCTTTTCTATTTTTTTGTACCTAATTAAATACGATACATATTAATAAAAATTTACTGTATTTACTTTTGTATCTCCAGTGTCCAGAATACTGACACTTAGAAAGTATTTAATAAATGCTTATTAATTATCTACTCAGTGCCAGGACTTGCTAGATCCAAGGGGAATCACAGCTAGTAACTATTATATGAATCAAACTACATTAAGTACTATAATTATAATAATTGAGGTAGGGGCACAGAAAAGGGAGCAAGTATGGTTGAGTATGGGAAAGCCTTCACAAAAGAGATGGGTTTTAGAGACTTTCCTTTCTTAGCATGACCAAAGATTGCTATCTGCAGAGTAACAAAATGTTGAGGGAACAATAAAGAGAATGCCTTTGATATGATTCAGAAATAAAATCTTTAAGTACCCAGGCACTATGACCTGAAAACAGTAATAAAGGTTATTTAGAGCAGGGCCCGGCAAATTTTTCCATAAGTATCAGGGAGTAAATATTTTGAGGTGTGTGGGCCAGATTGTCTCTCTTTCAATTATTGAACTCTAACATGGTAGCACTAAAACAGTCGGTGAATAGTAGTCAGTGAACGGGTGTGGCTGTGTTCCAATAAAACTTAACAAAAAGAGGGTGACAGGCTGTATCTGACCAATGGACCATAGTTTGCTGACTCCTGCTCTAAAATGAAACGTGAAAATTAACAAGACTGCATAATTAGTTAGAATGGTCTTGGGAGTCAAGATTTGGGCTCCATCCCAGTTCTGTTCCATATTAGCTTTGTCACCTGAGTCAGGCATTGGTTTTATTTTAAAATGTGGAAGAAAGTAATAGTTGCTAATCCCTAGAGTTATTGTAAGATTCAAGTAATTTAATTCACATGAGGCTTTAATGAAAAAATTTAGTACACAGGAAGGGCCCAATAAAATGCTAGCTAAAAATAAAACTAGTTGAACATGGGTGTTTATTTTCATTAGTTCTTAAAGCCCAACTAACATGATAGCATAAACTCTAAAGGATCAAAAACATTGAGAGAGATAGCAGACAAGAGGTGTTCATACATTTTGGAAGAAGGAATGAGGAAGAGTGATGACTAATTTAGCAGAATAGGGAAACAGGAACGATAAAAGCAAGTCTGTCTTTGCTATAGAATCTTAGAAAACTTGAGGAATTGGAGGCACAAGATACCTTTAAATAGTTTGGAGGAATTAGCGGGATTTTTTTGGTTAATACCCACCTCTGGGTGTATATATTTTTCCATTGAGTTTTAGACAGGAAAGGAGGGAGAGGAGAGACAGAGAAACATGAATGTGAGAGAGACACATCAATCAGTTGCCTCCTACACACGACCTGGGGGCCAGGATCAGGCCTGCAACTGAGTTACATGCCCTTGACTGGGAATTGAACCAGGACTCTTCAGTCAGCAGGGCTACGCTCTAACCACTGAGAGAACCAGCCAGGGCATTAGGGCTTTAAATGAGGATTGGTGACAGAAGCTAGGTAGGACTTGACTCATTCTGGGAGAGATTGTCACAGGTTGGTTTTGGACTTGAAAATACCAGGCAGAGCTGATGGTGAATAGTAAAGCACCCACTGAAAACAATGAGATCCTATTGGTTTCCAATGGGTGCTCTAACAAATTACTACAGACTTAGTGGTTTAAAAGAATACAAATTTATTATCTTACAGTCTGGAAGTTGGAAGTTCAAAACGGATCTTACTGGCTACAATCAGGGTAGCAGCAGGGTTGAGTTTCATTCTCGAGGCTCTGTGGGAGAATTTGTTTTTTTTTTTTTTAATTTATTGCTTAAAGTATTACAAAGGGTATTACATATGTGTCCATTTTTTCCCCCTGCCCTAGACAGTCCCCTAGCGGGAGAATTTGTTTTATTGTCTTTTCCAGCTTCTACAGGCTGCCTGCATTTCTTGACTTGTGGCCTCTTCCATCTTCAAAGCCAGCAATGGCCAGTCAAGTCTTTCTCACACTGTATCATTCTGACTGTGCTGCCTTCCTCTCCCATATGTAAATCCAACTGTATAATAAGATAATCTCCACATATTAAGGTCAACTGATCATCAACCTTAATTCCTTCTGCAACCTTACATCTCCTCTGTCATGTAACATAACATATTCTCAGGTTCCTGAGATTAGAGGGTGGATATCTTTGAAAGACCATTATTCTGCCTACCACAGAGATTAAGTCATATTGAATGGTGAGATGCCCAGATTCATTCCTCTGGCTTTTAATGCTAGTAACCAGGCTCAGACACATCACTTAGAAAGCAGGAAACTGGGGAATTTCTCTCCAAGAAAATCTCAAAACTCTCATCATCCTAATGCATTGGTTATTAGCCAAAAATGATTCTGCCGACAGGGGCCATTTGGCAGAATCTGGGAAAATTATTTTTTTAGAGAGAGAGGAGAATGAGGATGAGGAGCAGAGGAAGGAGAAGGAGAAGTAGGAAGAGGAGGAGGAGGAGGTGGAAGAAGAGGTCCGGAGGAAAGAAAAAGAAAAGGAAAAGGAAAAGGAAAGTAGGAAATATGATTGATTTTTGGTATTAAATTTAAATTTAAATATTTTTTAACATGCAAGTGTTACATTCACTCATCAAGGGTTAATGTTCAAAGATCATAAAATGAGGAAGGTGATCAAATTGTTACAAGAACAAACTCGCACCTGCAAAACGTGTGCACATTTATACCTGCCAATATTCATAAGTAAGGGTTTGCAACATACTATCCAACAGCTAGTAAAACCTGATCACTATGAAATTAAGAGCATGTTTTACCTGAATAAGTCCAAATCAGGAAACTTCATTTTGAGCTTCCTCAGTTACTCTTAGGGTGTGTAAACATGGAGTATTTATTTATTTAACATCCGGAGCCTCAATTGCTTCATTTACTAAATGAAGGGGTTTAATTGAGTATATTCTAAATATCTATTTAGCTCAATACTTTTATTCTTTTGGGCAAATGAACAATTAAAAAATGTGAAAGCAAAAGCAAAATAGACCAATCAAGTAGACATTCTACAGAAGAGCAATTTTAAAATATAAGCTAATTTTAAGGTATGTCTCCAAAAGCTGACGCTGAGATATGGATTCAGGTGCAAGTGATTTATTAGAAATTTGCTCCAATGTGAAACCAGTCATTGAGTCAGGAAGGCAGGCCCATAAAGGAGACTATGAAAAGCAAGGGTATGAGTTCAACGTCAGCCTGATCCCAAGGAGCTCCAGAGCACAAATTATAAAGAAAGAGTTTATCCCACTTGGAGGCAAAGGAACTAGGCTTTCATATTCCTGAATCAGTCACTGGCCACTGGCTACTCCAGGGATTTGTGACTTCCAGTTACTTTCGGCTCTTCAAGAGAATTGACTATAGTAACCCAAGAATATTCCATTGAAGAAGGTTGCAGGCACTATAACATTAAGAGTGAAACATTAAGACTTCTGCTTCCAGCCAAGACAGAGCTGTAGGAATCAGATTTATCTTACCACCTGTAAAAAAAACAAACAAAGGCAAAATGTATAAAACAGTGGTTTTCAAGACATTGTACATCAGTTAACAATGAACAGTTATCTCTTTAGGAGAGAGTAAACAAACAAGGCGAGCCCTGCGATTACCTCAGCATACTGCCTAGAGTTTCCAGGCCATGGTGAAGAGAGGGGTAACCCAGGTAGCGTTTAGTGGTCTCATGGAGATTGTCAGGTTGGATAAAAGTGCAAAGCCCAACTCTATGCTGCTTCCAATAAGCATACTTCAAAAAGAAAGACCCACATAGGTTAAAAGTAAAAGGGCCAAAAAGATAAGCCATGCTAACACTAATCAAAAGACATCTGGAGTGGCTATATTACTATCAGACAAAATAGGAATTAGATAAGAGAATATTATTAAGGACAAAAAAGGTCATTTCAAAATGATAAAGGGATTAACTTACCAAGGAAACCTAATATTACATATTTATGCATCTAATCATGTAAATAAAAAATATGTGAAGCAAAAGCTTGTAGAACTCAAAGGAGAACAGAACAAATTCATAATTATATTTCATAAAAATATCTGGAGATTTGATACCCCTTTTTCAATAATTGTTAGAATAAGTACAGAGGAGATCAAT